CACACTTATTTCTGGTAGAGACCAAATTCAGTTCTTCTTGAAAGCCTGTCGGGGAGAATTACCCGGTGTGGTCTGTCCACTCCGAATGTGCTAAATTCTGACGCGGATCTCCTGACTTGTCCTTCGCTACAGTCGGCATCTCTTCTGTATTGTTGCTCCTTCGCCTTAAGATCTTGAGGAGATCCTCCTTATAAACACAAGAAAAAAAACAACAACGTATAATAATGGAACATGTAAAGGTTCATGCCATTCCGAAAAGAAAACGAAAAGAGACAACGTTTCGGCTGTGGAGCCTTTACCTGTTCCTTTGCAGCATACGCATGCTGACGCAGCGTCTCATAATTACAATTGACTGTTTAGTGTTCACCTCCGTTGTGTGTCAGTCGTAGATGTCTAGCTGGAATCCTAAATCTGCTCTTCAAACCCAAAAATTCAGACAGTAAATGAAAATAACTATGTAGAAAAGGTAAAACCTTTTGTATCTATGACGTTTGTATTGTCTCGTGGATTAAATCTAGTATGTACAGTATGTGTTTTAATTACAAAATTCACCAATGAGTCTGGTTCTCTTATGTTTCGGATGTTTCGCTTAGAACATTTTCTAAGATAGCAGTTGAAAATGCCCTAAGAAATAGCTCCGAGCTAAAATCAGGAGGTAGTTTCAGTTACCAGAGATAAACCACAACTATTTTCTGCCTTTAACTGTTCAGAACTAGCGCATTTTAAAAAGCTAAATCGAGTTTCAAGAGGTAATGACCTCCGTTTTGCAGATCTCTCGATCAGATGCTTTTGTTAGAGGAGAAACTAAATAAACGTTACTGTTTAGTCCATGTACTGTAGTCCACGTTGCTGTTTAGTCCGTATACTGTAGCTCACAAGGTTTGCAATAATAATTTAAAAATATTTCAGCCGAGGACCACTTGAGAGTTAAAGCTAAAATTACAGTATTCGAAGGGTTTGTAATTCAGAATCTTGTAAAATTTATAATCTGAAACCAAGTACAAAAACTCTGCTTAAGCAAGTTACTATCTTAGTTAATAAGACAACTACAGGAACACATGACAGAGGTCTTGGATTGCACGTTTTTTTTAAAATAAAATTTTAAAGAACGAAATTAAGAAACCCTATAATTTTAATACTACAGTTTTAACAGAGAGTGTGAAATGTTAATACATTTCTCTGATCACCACTAACGCTATGAATCATTTTCTCTTGGTACAGTTCTTACCTTTTTCTCAGTGGAGGACAGACTCTCCCCCACACCGTCTTCAGCACAGCCTCCCTGAGAGCGGGGCTCCCCCAGATGTACAGTCCGGGGGTACAGGTTGAAGTGAATCTTATCATCATGGCCAGAGGGTCGCTGGCGTTGTTCTTGAACATGTATCTGGACCTGGTCATCTGGACCACGATAATGTAGTAAAAGCGAGGAGTCCAGAGCGCCAGGAAGCAGACTACCACCACGATGATGAGTCTCAGGGACTCTTTCTTGCTGTCTCTCTCTGGACCCGGCGGCTCCCGAGCAATCTGGTATTTAGCGATGAGGTACAGTTTCACGTTCATCAGCACTTTTGCGATTATTATTGCCTGGAGCGACAAAGTACCGTAAGCGCTCACTTTTTTAGCAACGTCAATGGTAACGATATTCTGAACCGTTAACATGAAGTAAGTGTAAAACCAGGCGAAAAAGCATAGTTGTATAGCTACAGTCCGAGTTATATAACGACTGTAAGTATAAGGATAAGCTACTGCAAGGAATCGGTCCACCTGTGCAGACATGATGGTCAGAATATTGACTCCCAGTAGCGAAGGCACTATGTAATAGGTGCCGTTTTTGGACGGATAGCCCTCCTGCACATCAAACAGTCCGATGTAGTAACCACCTAACCCGGTCAGAGTGTCAGATATGCTGGTGTTCAGCATGAAAATAAACCTGTTTTGACCTCGAAGTGACTTTGTACAAATAATACCCAACACCACCGAGCCAGCCATGAGAACAGCACTGGTAGCAATTAGTAGATTGGTTATAAAAATGAAATAATCTGCAGCGTCATTAAAGTCCACCGCTAACGGCACAGTGAGGTTCAGAGAAATCATCGTGTGGTAAAATGAATATCTGAGGACGCTGCTCTTGAATTTTAATAAGCATATTACACACAGGAGATTTGACGTGTTACACGGCATCTGAATGTCTGGAGCTTCGTGTCTCCTGTGAATAATTAACTCTCCATGTGTTCACGAGGAATGACGCCATTGAAGAATGAGCTGCTTTGCGAATGTATGAGGAGTATTTTAGTGTAAAAGGTTTTGATTTTACCCATTTGGTTAATATGCAGCCGCCTGGCCACAGGACGAGGAGGCTGGACTCCCCACTAAGACAGAGGAGTTCACCAAGGGGAAACTGCACAGGTGGAGATGGGGGAGGAGGCGGAAAAGAGCGAGAGGAGATGCGTGTGAGCGCTGAGTCACATCAAAGTGTTTAAACAGAAGTCGGTAACGATTGTGATTAGGAGCAGCTGGATGAGCTGTTATTTCTCAGTTTGAGTCCAGCAGTTTCAAGTTGCATTTTATCTGACAGTTGCATACCGATCAATGTCAGGAGCTGAGGTGGTCGTTTATAACAAAGTCAAAATGACTGAATGGACAAAGAACTTCAATCAGTGCCGCTCTGTACAGAGAGGAATCTATTAACACAGAGTGTAGTTATTAACGTGTTTGTGACGTAGAGAGGACAGTAGAAGCTGCTGTGTCATTAACATTAAATAATTAAAATGATAAAATAATAATCCCAACCCGAGCTCATCTCTGTACATACCGAATGGCTTCCTCTCGATTATCAGCTCTATGTTGTTGAGCAAAAAAATCGTGTACTCTATATTATTCCGTCACAGGTTGAATTTTCTTCAGTCGTGATTGTAATGAATAATTGTGTCAAGGGAGCAGTCAGTCCTGTACAACTACCAGGTATGAACAGAAGATGGCGCCAATGATCCTTAAGACCGGGTGCAGCATTGTTTCCCTCAAGGATTCAGACGGCTGTAGCTGAGCAGGTCAAATATATGACTGGACTGTAATTCATAGTCCTACAGCCTGATCTGTTCTTCTCGGTTTCTTAGTTTTTGTAAAATAATATGTCTAGCTGTGAAGGTTGTTGTAAGCTTAATTATAGTTGTAGTCGTGGAGACAGAATTGCGAACTGCTTAATTTAACGGAGTGTTTGCAGTTCTCTATACAAGGCAAGACTGCAAGCAAACACGTTCGGTTTTCGTTATTTAAAGAATTTTAAAAATCGTTTGTCGGTGCCTCTGAATGAGTTTGGATGCCCCTGGAACGTTACGGTTAACACAAAAGCTTTTTAAAAGTATTGTACAGTATATCTGTGTGAAAACATTTGTTCGTACTGTATATACCGCCTTCCAAAGTACCAGGGAACGCAGTTTTCCAAAAGAATGTACTCTGGAAAACGTCAGTGTTTGGATGAAACAAATACTTTTATTAGTAATTAAAAATCAATTCAATTGACTTATTAGTTGTACATTTTTTTAAAAAAATATATAAAACCTTTTGCTGTAATTAGGACATATATCCGCGTTGTTTTTCGGATTTTCCCAAATGAAAACTTGCTTTCTTGTAACACATTCAAAAAGACCGTCGGTCACTAAACGACTTGCTTAGATGAAATAAACAACGATTTCTAGTTTCATTTTATTTTTTCATCTTGAAATTCACAATCACATAGTCGTCTAAAACAAACGGTTTAGAATCAATTCCTTTTTGTAATATTTTATTGCGAATTTGGCAGATTTGCTAGTTATTGTCCATTTTCTAACCGTTTTGTCCGATTCAGTGTCGCGGGGGGGCAGAGCCTATCCCAGAAAGCAATGGGGCATCACAGGACACACAGACACACGCTCACACCAGGGCTGCATTGCCCAGAAGCCAGTTCACCTACCAGTAAGTCACTGGAGCCCCTGGGGGAAAACCAAGTGAACTTGAGGACAACATACAAACTCCACACAGACAGCACCCCAGGTGCAGAATTGAACCCACGTGAAAGCCTGTCACCTAGCAATTATACAGGTGCAAGGACACCTTTCTACCCACAGCAGACTCTCTTTAACTTTTCTCTTTAACTTTAAAACACATGCAACCAATTATCCACAAGGGAAATCCACTTACAAACCAACACGAGAGACCCAAGAACACAAGTTATTAAACTCCAAGTGTCCCAGAGGAGCAGTCGAGCAGCGCTGTACTCTACAAACGGCCCGAGTCAGTGACCTGATGTTCTTCCACAGACAAGAACCTCTGTGTCATCTTAGCCATCTTCTCCAGTCCTCGCAGGAGCCCCTACAACACAGAGCATTCTCGAGGTACCGAACAGAAATTGTACAATAAAAAAAGAGAACAGCATACAGAGTGAACAGTAAAGCAGGATATATTGCACCTGAGCAATTAAGTGAAAGCAACAGATTAAGAAATTCTCATATTCACTTGAGAAAAAAGGTTTGAAGTCACAATAAAAACAGCAAAACAATCTGAAAGGTTTCTCTAGAAACGTTTCAGTTTTATTCAGGTAAATTAAGGCTGTATGCTTATTGTTTGAGAAGATTACAGATATGTAAAAACCGTGTACCAGGTGTCTCGGGTCAAATCTCAGAGGGCCTGAAAGTCAATTAACAAATTAACGTCATTGTCTTCCTCATTAGATACAGTATATGAGTTTTCTAAGGTCTTCAACGGTTCAGTATTCAAAATATTCACTTCATTGAAGGTGTATCTAGTCATAAAACATGCTGGAGCCTGTTTAGAAATATTACTCTTAAGCAGTTAATTAAATAATTAGACCAACTATGTAATAGAGCTGAGAAGGCCTAGTTTGCTGCAATCGGTCTTAAGGTAGTGTACTAGTTCGGAATGGAGCTTCTTGCTAACAACGGATTGAGCTCCAGTTACAGTAGTACACTGAAACAAATTAAGTGAATTACATCTGAAATTGTAGATATAACCAGGAATCTTCCATTCCTGAAATGTATTATAATTATACATTATCAGGCTCTAGAGAAAATAAACACCTTGGACATTTATTTTTATTTCGCCGAGACTGAAGGTATGTCTTGCATATGTCTAACCTGAGCTCTGCAGTTTTGCTCTTCAGTTGTGGCCAGCTGTGGCAGCGTTATCATCAGTTTGACCATTTCTAGCTTTTAGTGTAGGTTCTGAAAATATTGACTTATTTAAAAGTCCCGTTGGAAAATCACCCGCTGTTAGTGCGGCACACAGCGCCCGGTTGTGTTTGCGGAGCTGTGGTAAGTTTTGGTTATTTGGGCTCTGTGTGCAGACATAACACTGGCGCTCTTTTAAATTCCCTACATTTTCTGAATCTGATACTCTAATACAAACTGAAGAGCCCCGCTTGATGACTGAGCTTCTTGATTGCGTTGTTTTATCTCGTATGTGTTTGATTTTTATAGTTCTGGGGTGAGTTTCCCGAAAGCATCGTAGCGCTAAGAACATCGTAAACTCGCTCTTAAGATCTATCGTTAATTTACGAGTGTTTCCCTAAAATCAATCATACATAAAGTATCACGTTAACTTCTTCCTACTTGCTACCGGACCCATTCGTTAATCACTAAGTGCTTCTTAAACTGGCTACCTCCTGCGCCAACCTTAGCGCCAGAGATCGCCAGACAGAGCACATTCAATTCACGTCATGGGAATTGGAAATTTCGAATGCTAAGATTTTATTTTAAGGATTTTAGTATATTGAGTGTATTGGAACTCCATTTTAACTGGCCTTCTTAACATGCCATCTGAAAAAATTAACTACTAAGCTTGGTATGTGTCACTCAACACATACAGGACCTATAATCAAATTTAAAAACAAGTAGGTCTAAGCTTTACCGTCAACAATCACGACAGAACATAAAACGGTATTCGAACTTTAAACATAAATAAATATTAGGCCAAATGCAGTGGGAGTGGGATCACAAAGAGCAAAGCAGACTGGGAAAGGAATTTTCAATTTACCGTAGTTCTCTAAATGGGCTGTTCAAGGACACGTATTTCACACAGTTCTTACCTTTTTCTCAGTGGAGGACAGACTCTCCCCCACACCGTCTTCAGCACAGCCTCCCTGAGAGCGGGGCTCCCCCAGATGTACAGTCCGGGGGTACAGGTTGAAGAAAATCTCAACATCAAACTTAGAGGGTTCCTGGCAGTGTTCGCGAACATGTACGTAGATCTGGCCAACTGGACCACGATCATGTAGTAAAAGTAAGGACACCAGAGCGCCAGGAAGCAGACTACCACCACGATGATGAGTCTCAGGGACTCTTTCTTGCTGTCTCTCTCTGGACCCGGCGGCTCCCGAGCAATCTGGTATTTAGCGATGAGGTACAGTTTCACGTTCATCAGCACTTTCACGATTATTATTGTCTGGAACAACAAGGTACCGTAAGCGCTCACGTTTGCAGCAACTTCTACAGCAACGAAGTTCTGAACCGTTAATGAGAAATAGGTGTAAAACCAGCAGAAAACACAAACTCCTATAACGACAGTCCTGGTTATATAACGACTGTAAGTAAAAGGATAAACTACAGCAAGGAATCGGTCCACCTGTGCAGACAAGATTGTCAGAATATTGACTCCCAGTAGCGAAGGCACTATGTAATAAGTGCCGTTTCTGGAAGGAAAACCCTCCTGAACATCAAACAGCCCGATGTAGTAACCGCCTACCCCAGACAGAGTGTCGCTTATGCTGGTGTTCAGCATGAAAATAAACCTGTTTTGATCTCGAAGTGACTTTTTACAAATAATACCCAACACAACCGAGCCAGCCACGAGAACCGAACTGGTAGCAACTAGCAGGTTGACTATAAAAATGAAATAATCTTCAGCTTTATTGAAGTCCACCGCTAACGGCACAGTGAGGTTCAGAGAAATCATCGCGTGGTGAGATGAGTATCTGGCGATGTCGCTCTTGAGTTTTAACAGGCGAAGAGGACGCAGGAGATGTGCCTCGT